GGCCGTGAAGCTCTCGTGGGCGGAGTCGGTGCTGCTCTGGGCGGTGATGGAGATGCGGGGCGGGGCCTGGCTTCCCGGCGGGATGGGCGGCGGGGCCTTTCTGAAGTTGAAGGCTGCGGCCGGGACGCAGAGAGACGCGGAGGGTGAGAAACGGGTCCCGGCAAGTGCCACCCCACATCCCCACGGGATGCCTCGGTCTCCACGGGCTGCCCCCTACAGAGCCAAGGGTTGTTCTCATCCAGCCCAGAGGGGCAAGCGATCTGCCCAAGGTCACACAGCACAGCGGTGGCAGCGGCCGGAACCAGAACCTAGGGGGCGCTCCCCAAGCGAGGGTCGGGCTGGGGGCAAACTAGTTGTACTCACAGGAGCCGGGCCTCCCTGAGACAGAGGCAGGGGCAGCAAGGAGGGGCAGGCAGTCGTCGTCTTGAGAGCAGCCGGCCTGGATGGCCCGGAGGTAGCTGTGGCTCCGCATGCGGAAACAGCCGGGCAGGTCCAGGGCGTCCACGGCTTGGGATTCGAGCTCCCCAAACACAGACCCGCACACAGCCTCCAGTTGCTGGTTCAGCTCCTCGCTGAGCTGGGGGCGAAGGCGAGACGATAGTTATTGGGGTGCTGGGTGGGGTGGGGGGTGTCTCTGAGGCACTCTGCGTAGGAGTATGTCTAGATCTGCAGAGGTCTCTGTGCAATTCCTCCGCATTTGGACTAAAAGAAGCCATCACTCTGCAAAGGAGGATGAAGGCACCTCTGCCCTGTGCTGCTCCCCGAAATGCCTTGAGGGTCCGGTCTGTCCTCTAAATACTCCTCCCTCCGCCCCATCTATGCCTCTCCCAGGTGTGTGGCTGTACCTCAGCCTCCAGACCACCCATCTTCCTCCCCACCGAGGCCCAGCCCCTCACGCTTCCCTCACCTGACCCTGAGGGAGAGGAACAGGGGCTTGACAGCCACCCTCCTGCCCAGTATGGGGGTAGGGGGCTGCAGGGAAGGCCACCTTTTATTTCACTACTTATGATCCACTAGATCGTAAAACTGACTGAAAGCAACTTATAGAGATATATACCATGCGGCAGGACAGAAATTCACCATTATGGGATGGAGCAAAAGTTATTAACCTTCAAGTGTTCCAGGCCTCCCCCCACCTTCTGCCCACCAACTAAGGCTCTGGTTTGGCCCACGGGTTCCTTCCCTGCCTTCCGCCTCAAAGGAAAGTTCAGTGCTGGATAAGGTTCTTGTTTTTGTTTCTGATATTTTGTGGTGCAGAATCCATAGTGTTAAAAAAAAATTCAAGCAACTAAGGAAAAAGCAAAACAAAGATTTTGTTCACAGAACCATGTCACACAACACTGCACTAGGACTAAATATACCACGGAGGCTGCAGCTTCATTTGTGTTACATGAGCAAACTGGCGCAAAGGCAAAAATGAAGGTAGGAAAGGAAGGTGGCCCAGGGGTAAGCTCTCCCCAGAGCACAGGATGGGTGCACATCTGACCCCGAGCTTCAGAGCAGCCAAAGCATCGAGGAGTATAGCCTACGGGTTGCCCACACAGGCTGTGAAGTGAGACCACCTGAACTCAAGTGCTGGCTCCGCTACTTCTTAGCAGTGTGGCCTAAGAAAGTTGCGTAAAAGTTTTGGGGCCTCAGCTTAATCATCTGTCCAATGGGAATGATAACGGTACCATCTCCATGGTCTATTTGAAGGAGTAAAACGAAAACACAACAAAAACCTGAGAGGCACTTCGTGCAGATACTGGCACATAGTAAGCAACTCAGTCAGTGGCATGTGTAGGTCTCAGGGACTAAACACAGGCCAGCGCTCATGAGAACCACAACTCTTCCTGTCACTGAGCCCAAGAGGAATTCCCCCATGAGTGAGTGTGTAGAGGCCAAAGAATGAAGCCATGGACAAGGGCGTCAGTAGCATCCACGTGGTAAATGACAGCAAGTATCCCATGGCTGCATCTTGTAACGTCTCCCAGGAAAGACTCATGGCATCATATTTATGTGCAGTCCACAGAGGCCCAAAGGAGTGGCTTGATCCATGTGTAAAATGCAGCTCAGTGTTTCCATAACTTAGCTTCAAAAGCATAATATTATATCATGAGATGCTACATCAAATTGAGGAGGAATTTTCATCCCATTCTACTGATGGGCAAACTAAGGCCCTGAGAGGGTAGATGAATTATCTAAAGATGCCCAGCTTGTATGCCAGGTTTTTTGGCTCTCATGCCAGGCTTACTGAGCATCAGAATCTCCTAGGGAACTTGTTAATCCTACATTAACTCAGGCCCCACCTCAAGGATCTGACCCCAGGGCTCTTTAACTATATGCCTCTCTTTGCTTTGGCTGCTTTGAAGCCCGGAGCCAAATATGCTGGAGATTCAGACTCAGTGGTTCCGATGTGGGGCCAGTAATTTAAAAAAGGACTGTTTGGACTTCTTTTGGCAGCTTTTTCTAAAGGAACTTTATTACAAGTGTGCAGAAGTCATGGGTCATGGAAAAATTAATCCAAGATCCTGTGGAAGTTAAGTTCATCCACATTTGATTGGCATAAGCCTGACTCCTGTGGCAGTTGTGGCTTCACCACAACTCTTATAAGTCTCCTTCTTAGTTTCCTATCTATGGGCCTCTGGGGTACCAAGGACCAGCAGCGGCAGGGTATTTCCTGAAGCTCAGGAGCTGATCTAACTCCTGCTACTTCTAAGCCAGGCTAAGGATACTCCCCCACTAGAACTAATTGGGCCCAGAGGGTCTCTCATGGAGCATAGAAGAGTTGACCTAACCCCAGCAGAGAGCAATCTGGTCTCAATTCAGGATGCCAGGGACGGAAGAACGCCCACTCTGCAGCTTATCTCTGTATCACCAGCCCTCTTCTGTATGTCAAGCACTAGGCATAATACCTGGCACAAAGCAGATGCTCAGTGAACATCAGCTACTATTATTAGTAGCACGAGGCTCTTAAATCACAGTGGAAATGCCTCTCAGAGACCTCTCTTTCCCAGGGGTTCTGGAGGTCTTGAAATCCCAACCATATGTTATCCCCACAATGAACTCTATGCAAGGCAAAGAGAGACAGAGGGTGAGAAGCTCTCTGGGGCCACACACTTCCCATCTCTACAAGCCAAGAGGAGTTTCTGGGGTTGAACAGGAGACCAGGACCCAAGAGAAATACAGAATCATACAGACTCGCAGAGGAATATTGCACCTGAGTTGATCTTGACTGTATTATGATTATGAAATTGCAACATTATACTGTGAATTCTCCTATTATTCCTGAACTGCCTTCCACCCTGCTCCCCAGCTCCCACTTTCAGAAGAATCCAAGAAACCTCTTGGGAAATAAGAACCTGAACCTTTCTCCAAACCAGACTCAGACTCAATAAATATTTCCAAGGGTGTGGGAGATTTAGAAGAAAATATTTGTTTGGGACTAACTGAAAATTGTCCATGGTAGAGTTGGTGGGTCCAACTGGGGGCTAGGCAACATGCTGTATACTTTATATATGTCATTTAGTTTAGATAACCTTAAAAATCCTCCCATTTCAAAACACTCTAAAACACCGGATAAAATATAATGTTGCTTTATATGCATAGCTGAGCTCATAAGAAAGCAAGATAAGTCCCCAGGGGACAAAAGCAAAGAGGAAACTGGAAAATCAGAATAATAACTGTGTGAGTCAATGCTGCAAACAGCCCAGTGGAGGTGGAAAGTGAAGGGAGGGGTTGCTGGTCTCAGTAACCCAAGGGCTTAGGTTTTAACATTTTACGGGCAGCTGTAAGGTTTGAGGCCCACATGAAGCACAGAATTGGAATGAGCACCTGCATAAAAGTAGGAAAAGGGAGACCTTTGGTGAAAAGGTAGACTAGGGAAAAATATTATTAGCACAGATTGATGATAAGGAAGCTAGTCTATAAGTCTAGGCACTGTGGGGAAGGGAAAGGAAGCAAATCTTCTAAGAATTTGTATCCACAAGCTAATCTTCATGCAGACAGAGGATTCTGCCAGACCTACCTAAATTAAAAAGTAACATAAAATCATCCCGGAACAAGAATGAGTTAAATAGTAGATGAGACACAAGTGAAGAAAATATTAGTGAACCAGAAGATATATCTGAGAAACTTACCAGAAGGGAGCATAGAGAGGCAAAGAGATGGAAAAAATGAAGGAGAGGTTAAGACACATGGAGGAATGAATAAGAAGGTCCCCCGTACAACTAATAGGAGTTTCAGAGGAGAGACTAGATAGAATGTGGAAGAAGTAATACTTGAAGAGATAATGATGGTGGTTGAGAAATTTCTAGACTTTTGACTTCAGGCATGACAGAATAAAAACAAGAAAGAAAAAAAAATGGGTGGAGACATCAGAGTCTGCATTTGGCAGGGAAGATGGATTTCACAGATTTAGCCCTGAGATTAACAAACAGACAAAACAATAACAACCTTCAAGGTAAAATAAGAATACAGATATATTACCTAAAATGTTCAGTATTCAACAACAAAAATGAAAACGAAACATTCAAATAAATAAGAAAATGCAAATGTTCCCAAATGTTTGATTTATCAAAGGCTACAAAGCAGCTATTATAAATATGTTCAAATAAGTAAAGAAAATCATGTTTGAAGATTTAAAGGAAATCATTGCAACAATGACTTAATGAACATAAAATCGTAACAAAAAGATAGAAATTATTTTTTAAAAAGAACCAAATGAAAATTCAGAAGCTGAAAAGTACAATAATTGAAATGAAATAATTCACTAGAAGGGCTCAGAATAAGATATAATCAGTAAACTTGAAGCTAGATCAGTATAAATTATCCAATCTGAAGAATGGAGAGGAAAAAGACTAGAAATGAACAGAGCCTCAAAGATCTATGGGACAATATCAAGTATTCCAGTATACATGTAATGGAAACTTCAGAAGAAGAGAGATAGAAAGGTAAAGAAAAAATATTTGAAGAAATAATGGCCCTAAACTTTCCAAATTTGATGAAAAACGTTAATCTACAGATTAAAGAAGCTCAATGAATCCAAAGTGGGTTAAACATAAAGAGATCTACATCTAGACACATTACAGTCAAAATGTTGAAAGTTGAAGACATTAATAGCAGCAAGAGGAAACAATTCATCACATACAGAAAAACAACATGATTAACAACTGGCTTTTCATCAGAAGCGATGACTTAAAGGCAGTAGAATGATATATTCAAAGTGCTAAAAAAAACAAAAAACTGTCAACAGGAATTCTATATCCAGCAAACTATCTTTCAAAAAATGAAGTAAGTTCAGCCGGGTGTGGCTCAGCGGTTGAGTATCAACCTAGGATCCAGGTGATCGGGGTTCGATTCCTGGTCAGGGCACATGCCCGGGTTGCAGGCCCCATCCCCAGTCAGGGGCATGCGGGAGGCCTCCGATCAATGACTCTCTCATCATTGATGTTTCTATCTCTCTCTCTCCCTCTCCTTTCCTTTCTCTGAAATCAATAAAGATTTTTTTTTTTTAATGAAGTAAAACTACATTTCCAAATAAATATAGACTGAAGAATTTATTGGCAGCAGACCTATCTTACAAGAAATACTAATGCAAGTTCTTCAGGCTAAAAGGAGCAACGCCCAATGGTAACTCAAAATCACAAGAGGAAATGAACAGCACCAAAAATAGTAAATATGTGAATAAATATAAAAGACTCTATAAATATATTTTTCTCACTTCTTTAAAAAAATAAGATTGTACAAGGCAATTTATGATACCATCATTAATTTCTAATAATTGCTAGGTTTCTAACATGTATACAAATAATGTATATAACAATAACAGCACAAAGAGAGGAGAGAAGAAGGAGACATATTGGAAGAGTGCTTCTATATTTTACCAGAATTAATTAGATTTAATAAGTTAAGATACACATTGTAATTCCCAGCACAGCCACCAATAATCTGAGTAATGTTGTAAAAGGAATTAACAATAAAGAAATTAAAATGGTATACTAAAAGTACTTATTTATTTAATGCAAAAGAAGACAGTAAAAGAAGAACAGAGGAACAAATATTACATGACACAATCCAGTTATATCAATGATCACATTAAGTGTGAATGGACAAGACAAGCCCATTCAAAAGGCAAGGACTGTCACACTGAATATAAAAGCAAGTAGGCTGAAAGTAAAAGGGTGAAGAAAGATGCACCAGCAAACAGGAACCATGAGAGAATTTTCCAGACTTGATGAAAGACATGAATCTTCGTATTAGGGAACACACAGATACACATCATAGTGAAACTTCAAAACACCAAAATCAAAGACAAGATCTCAAAAGCAATCAAAGAGAAATGAAAATTACCTACAAAGGCAATTAGATTAATAGCAGACTTCTCAACAGCAACAACAGAAGACAGATGACAAAGGGATATCTTCAAAACACTGAGAAAATAAATGTAGATCTAGAATTCTATAATAAACTAGATTATGTTTAGTTTACTACTAACATTCACTGAAAAAATTACAAAGAATAGACTTTAAAAGGAAGGAATGGCCCTGACCAGGTGGCTCAGTTAGTTGGAGCATGATCCCACACACCAAAAGGTTGCAGGTTTGATTCCTGGTCAGGGCACATACCTACGTTGTGAGTTCAATCCACAGTCGGGGTGTGTACAGGAGGAAACTGATCAATGTTTCTCTCTCACATCAATGTTTCGCTCTCCCCCCAACATCTTCCTCTTTCTCTAAATCAATAAAACATATCCTCAGGTGAGGATTTTTAAAAAAGAAAAAAAGAAAGGAATGAAATGGGGGTGAGTTAAAGATGTAAGTATATATATATATATATATATATGGTCAACTACTAAGAGTGTAAAATGTAACAACAATATTAAAGACTAATTTGCAGAAGTAAAAAGAAGGTAGAACTTAAATACTGGGCAACAAGCAGTGTAAGAAGGGAAGGGGAGATCAAAATTCAAGTGTCCTAAGGTCTTTTCATTGTTCAGGAGAAGGGTAAAAGATTGTCAACTTCAGACTTTGCTCATTCAAATATGCACACTGAATTATAAGAGTAACCATAAAGGATGAAAATGGAATAATAACTGCCCAGCCAGTGTGATATTTAGTGGGGAGAGAAATGAAGGAAACTCAATTGACCCAAAAGAAGGCAGCAGAGTAGAGAAGCATCAGCCAAAACAGCCGGATAAATAGAAAGCACAAGGTAAGATAACAGAAATAAATCCAGCCCTAGCTGGTTTGGCTCGGTGGTTAGAGTGTCGGCCTTCGGACTGAAGGCTCCCAGGTTCGATTCCAGCCAAGGGCATGTACCTTGGGTGCAGGCTCAATCCCTGGCCCTGGTTGGGCCACATGCAGGAGGCAACCAATCGATGTGTCTCTCTCACATCGATGTTTCTCTCTCTCTCCCCCTCCTCCACTCTCTCTGAAAAGCAATGGAAAAAATATCCTTCACTAAGGAAAAAAGGAAGGAAGGAAGGAAGGAAGGAAGGAAGGAAGGAAGGAAGGAAGGAATCCAAGCATATCAGTAAATCACAATAAATATAAATATACTAAACTTTCAAGAAATCGTCAGAATGTATATAAAATAAAATCTAGCTATAAACTATTTACAAAAGATATATGTAAAACATGGGAAAAATTTTTTTGAAAGATGTTCTGTGAAAATATTAAATCAAAACATAGACTTAAGGGCAAAAAGTATTACATTATTATAGATAATAGAATGACATCTCTAGTGTGTTAGACCTGTTTCCTGTTCTGTAAAGCAAAGATTATAAGCTATACCTCCCAGGAGAAATAAGCAATGAATGCGCAAAGTGCTGAGGAGAAGAAAAGAAAAAGAAAAAACAGAGAAGAGAAATAGAAAATGCTGGGAGAAGAAAGGACCAAAATTTAAATTTTACAACGTTTGGGGAAAGACTTGAAAGAACTGAGGGAGGGATCCGTGAGAGTGTCTGGGAAGGAGAGATCCAGGCAGAGGGAGCAGCAGATGCAAAGGCCCTAAGACTGGAGCGTATTTGTGGTGTCAGGGGAGCAGCAAGGGGACCAGCAAGGGGACCAGTACGGCTGGAGAGGGTGAGGGGAGGGAACAGTGTGAGGAGAGGGACTCGGAGGTAGCAAGGACCAGATTTTGCAGGGCCTTATGTATCATAGTAAAGTCCGTGAATTTTCCTCCAAGTAAGGTGAGGGTTTTGAGTGAACAAGAGCAAGAGCAGAAGACCAACTAGAAGGCAGTGCAACAGGACAGACAAATGAACACGGTGGCCTGGCCTGGCGTGGTGGCAGTGGAGGTAGTGAGGGGCGGCGGGGTCCCGGATGCACGCTGAAGGGGGGCCCAACAGGATTTGCTGGAGGACGGGATGTGGGATGGGAGAGAGAGAAGGGAGTCAAGACTGACTCAAGCTGTTAGACCCGAGTTCCTGGAAGGATAAAGTTGCCATTACCTGAAACAGAGAAGACACTGGGTGAAGCGAGGGATTTGGAGCGAAGGTTTACTTCCAGACATCTTAAGTTTGAGATGTCTACTAAACATCCAAGTGAGATTTTAATATACCATTAGATATACATGCCTGGCACTTACGGGCGGATTTGGGCTGGAAATATACATTTGGGAGTTATCGGGCTCTAGATAATCATTAAAGCCATGAGCCTCGAAGAAATGAGCTCACCTAGGAAGTAAGTGTAGAGAGAAATCCAGGAATTAAGCCCCGAAAAACTCCAATGTTCAGGTCCTGGAGAGTTTCAGGCACAGACTGAGTTAATAAGCAGCCAGAAAGAGAACCTAGAGGAACCTAAAAGGTGTGGTGTCCTCAGAGCCAACTGAGTAAGGTGTCTCAGGAAGGAAAGAGTCATCAGCTGTGTTAGATGTTGCTGCTGGGTCAGGTAAAACAGGAACTGCGTCTTAACTAGTGGCTTTAGCAGCAGAGGCTGGTCTGAGGGGAAAAGGTGGCTGTGGCAATCAGATTCCCCGATTCAGGAAATGTAACAAAGAAATGCTGAGAGACTGCAGCAGCCAACAACAGGAGCCAAAGTGGACAGCCTTTTGCATTGCTTTTTGCCCCAGCAAACAGTAAAAATAGCTAACCTTTATGGACTGCTGGCTATGTGCCAAGAACACTATTATGATGCCTATTTTTAAATAGAAAAAGTGGGGCTCAAAAAAGTCAAGTAGCTTGCCCCAGGTCACTCAGCTGGTAAGTAGCAGAGCTCGAATTCAACCCCATCTCATGCATTTAATTACTAAACCTACTTGCTTCCCTTTAGTTAAGGGAAAGTCTACACTTAGATATGGAACTCAAAATTATAAAATAGCAATTTGAGGCCAGGTACCTTGTGTTTACATACATTTTCTCACTGAATGCTCACAAAACCCCTGTGAGATAAATACCACTACTATTGTCATTTTAAAGATGAAAAAAACAGAGGCATTGAGAGATGTCATGCTGGTGGTCCCACAGGTGGAGGTGGTGGGGAAAGAGGCCCAGATCACCTGAGACTGCAGCTCTGCCTGTCCCGTCTGTACAATCAATCCTGCCTTTTGCGTGGGGTGGGCTGGGAGCAATCAGGCCAGGTCAGGATTGGGGAAGTGAGAGGTCTGAGGACGCCCTTACATACTCATCACTTTCAGGACACTTGGTTTCTAAGGATATGACTCTGAGATCTCCAATCCAAGTCAGTTCCAGGAGGCCCAAGGCAGGCTTCCCAGCTCCCCCAGAATCAGACCTGCACTCCCTCCCTGGCCAGGCCTTTGATTGTAAAGCCTACACTGAGCTTGGGACTGAATCTCCTTCCCACCCTTTCCTTCGGGCATGCTGGGCCTCTCCCTACCTGTCCGGTGGTGAGGGAACGGCTGTAGCCAGGGATGGAGCTCCGGGGATGGATCCGGGGTGGGACGCAGCAGCTGGGAAAGGTCAAAATTCCAGATTCAGAATGGGGGTCAGTGAGGAGGCACGGGGGAGCATGAGAGCACTGGGGGCCCTGAGCGGACTCTACCCCTCAGAAGCCCCCAGACAGAGATCCCACAGAAGACCCCTGGGTAAAGGTAAAGGGACTCCCCCAAAGAGGCACTCAGGAGCTAACAGAGTGACCCCTTCTTTACATGGAGCATACTCCCCAGTTGAACCTTAAGCAGGGAACGGACTGGCACTCACTCTACACACATCTGCAGGGACCCA